ACCCAGTTACCCACTCCTCGGTTTATACCCAAAGGACTTAAAAATCATTACACTAGGGTCTGGGGATGTGGCTCAAGCAGTAGTATGCTCGCCTGGCATGCGTGCAGCCCAGGTTCGATCCTCAGCACCACATACAAACAAAGATGTTGTGTCCACCAAAAATTTAAAAAATAAATATTAAAAAATTCTCTGTCTCTCTCTCTTAAAAAAAAATCAGTACACTACAGTAACACAGACACATCAATGTTTATAGCAGCTCAATTCACAATAGCTGAACTATGTAACCAAACTACATGCCCTTCAACAGATAAATAGATAAAGAAAAATGTGRTATATATACACAATGGAATATTACTCAGCCACAAAGAATAATGAAATTATGGCATTTGTCAGTAAGTGGATAGAGGATATCATGCTGGGTGAAATAAGCTAATCCCCCAAAAAATCAAAGGCCAAATGTTTTTTCTCATCTGCAGATACTAATTCACAATAGTGGTGGGGGTTATGGAAGAATAGAAGTACTTTGCATTAGACAAAGGAAATTGAAGGAAAAGGAGGTGCAATGGGAATAGGAAAGATAACTGAATGAATTGGACATTACTATATTATGTGCATATATGATTATATGACCAATGTCTATACTCATATAAAACCAAAAAATGAGAAGTTATACTCCATTTATATATGATGTATCAAAATGCATTCTACTGTCATGTATAATTTAAAAGAACAAATTAAAAAATTTAAAAGAGTTTTATTCTCTCGCAATTCTGGAGGCTACAAGTCCATGATCTGATTCTAACAGCTTAAATTTTTGGTGAGGGATTTCATCCTGGCCTGTAGAGAATTATTATAAGTAAAATAATACAATATGTGCCTTTTTGTGACTGATTACTTCATTTAGTGTAAAATATTGAAGATTCATCCATGGCATACAATGTTTCAGAATTTCCTTAATTTTTGAAGCTGAATAATATTACATTGTGTTATAGCTACGTCCCTGTAGGATTTCCCCAAAAYAATAACATTTTGAAAGTGGCTTTTTAACTCTGCATCTATCTAAGTTGCTGTGTTTATCAATAGTTCAGTCCTTATATGTAAAAACTAGGACTATAAAACCCTTAGAAGTAAAAAGTGAAACATTTCATGACATTAGATTTGGCAGTGATTTCTTGGCTATTACACAAATGGCACAAGCAACAAAAGAAAAAATAGCCTTAGCCCAAGTTAAAATCTTTCATGCATTAAAGGACACTATCAGCAGAGTAAAAAGACAATGAAAGAAAATATTAGTAAATCATTCATCTGATATTATTATCCAGAATATGTTGATAACAGTCAAAACTCAACCACAACAAAAAGAAACTTAATAACGAGCAAAGGAATTGAACACACATTTCTCCGACTATATAAATGACAAATAAAGGCATTAAAATATGCTTAATATTAATTAAGCATAATGCTTAATATTATTCCTAACTAATCATTAGGAAATTTTAAATCCAAACCATGATGAGATATTACCTTATACCCATTGGGGTGGCTATTATAATATCCCCCAAACAAAATAATCCCAGAAAGTGTTGGAGGGGCTATAGAAAAACTGGAATATTTGTGCACTGTTGGTGGGACTATAGGATGGTTGCAGGTACTATGGAAACAAGTATTTTAGTATCTCAAAAAAAAAATGGAGTTACTATTGGGTCCAGCAATTCCATTTTGGGGTATACATCCAATGCTTTGAAAGCAGAAACATGAGCAGATATTTGTACACTTCTGTTCAAGGCATCATTCTCAATACCCAAACGCAGGAAACAGCCCAAATGTCCATTGATGATGGATAAACAAAGGATTGCACAGAATACAATTTAGTGAGAACTTATGACAGAAGCATGGTCAAGGGTAGTGGCAAGCCCAGGGGATCCTTACAATTTGGGGTCTGAGGAAGTAGGCTTATTTTGTGGTCAGGACAAGAGTGACTTTCATCTAAGTCAGAATACATTGTTTATCTCAAGCTAATATCAAGGATTTAAGTCTTTTCTGGCACTGTGGGCTCTACTTTCTGGTCAAAAAGTTCGACATTCTACTCTAATTGTTTTTTTGTTGTTGTTGTTGGTTGGTTGGTTGGTTTTTTTGTAGTAAACTGGGAAACCATGCAGGGGAAATCAATCAGTGTTCCTCAGGGGCAATCACGGAAATTATGATTCTAAATGGCTATAGTTAGATCAAGCAAGACACATGTAGTATATAATTAATTTATTTTGGAAGTGACAAAATTGTAAAAATGGAAAACAGATAACTGTTGTCCAGTGGTTACGTTTTATAGGCAGTTATGGCCCTTAAGTGGTAACATAAACGGGTTTCTACTTTGTGACACATTCAGTTCTGTGTTCTGGTTGTAGTAATGGCCACACGAATCCACACATGTGTTAAAATTTCACAGAACTATGCAAAAAAGAAAAAGGGTGCCTGTAAAATTTGGTGAAATATAAATAAGTTTGGTATCTAAGTTAATAGACTTGTAGCAACATCAATTTTGTTATGTTGACAACAAACTAGGAGTATATAAATTATTGTCACTGGGGAAAGTTGGGGAAAACTTTTTGTGAATCAAAGTATTTTCAAAAAATCAATTAAAAATCCTATATAAAATATCTTCATTATTTGCTCATTGTACTAAGAATGAAAGCCAAAATGTTTTCCAAATGTGCAGAGCTTAGCATGATGTGGTCCCTGCCTATCTTTTCTCTAACCTTTCTACTTACTAGTCGTCCCCTTCTGCGACACTCCTTATGTCTAGAATGCTTCTGTCATAGCTGTAAGAGAGCTGTTCTCTCCTCTGAATGAGGCAACACTTTTTTCTTTGTTCATTCAATGAACGTTTATAAATGCAGGCTTGAGAGGCAAAGCCTTAAGGCAGCAATCCAGGTTTGGACATTGGTTTGAAGTGCTGGTGAGACAATAAAATGTCAAGGTTGCCATTATGATTTCAATCTATTATGTCCCCCAAAGCTTCCTGTGTTTAGAGGTGGGGGATTTGGGGAAATGATTGGATCATGAAGGCTCTGATCTCATCATAGATGAATTCTTTGATGCCTCAACAGACTACATGGAAGTGGGTACAGGTTGAGGATGTAGGTCATAGGGGGCGTGCCCTGAAAGGGCTTTTCTCCAGTCCCTTTCCCCCCCACACACACACTCCTTGTGGCTGCCATGAGTTGAAAGTTTCCCTCTGCCATGCCCTTTGCCATGAAAGTCTGCTTCACTTCAGGGGCAAAGCCATGGAGCCTGCTGGACATGGACTGACTCTTCTGAAACCATGAGCCAAAATAAATCTTTCTTTCTCTAAGTTATTCTTCTTGGACATTTTGGTCACAGGAAGTGAAAAGCTAACAAAGTTAAGAATCTAATTAGATGCTTGGATATAGAGCTAGGTATAAAACTTGGGATCTGAGCTATACAATTTGAGGAGTTGTTCAAAAATGATATGGTACTTGAAGCTTTGTGAGTGCATGAGATCTCCTAGGAAAAGGATGTAATAAGAGAAGAAAGGAGGATCTAAGGCTGAATGCTGCGTTTCAAATGGAGAAATCAGTCCAGTGTATCAAATGCTGCTGAAAAATCAGGTAAAATGAAGCAAGCTAGGTTTATTATATTTAACAACATGTACAATCATCACATATTGATAAAAAAATACTTTAAAAATAATAATACAAGCATTGGCAATAGTGTGGTGAAACGGTCTGTTATGGATTACTAGTAATAAAATGGATTAAGATAATTGTTTTAGAAATTATTCTGTAACATGTATCAAGAGTTTTAAAATGTTTTTAACTTGGTCTAGTAATCATGTTTCCAAGCATCTTTTCAAAAACAACAATCCTATTTATGGGAAAAAATATATATAGTATTTTTTCTGTATTTATGAAATTATCTTTAATAACCATGAATTACCTTTTTAATGGAAAAATAAGTTTTAAAGTTTGTTTACATAACAAACTCTTTCTTGGTCTTTTGTTCTGTAATTTTCTTGTGTTATTTTATTTCCAAATTATTCTCTGCCTCATTAAGAATGCTATAACAGTTGCATAAAATGTAGCTTTATAAAATCCTGAAAAATAAATAAGATTCGCAGAAAACAATGAAAATATCTATCATTCATTAAGTGTTTTCTAGGAAAACCTACATTTCTCTATCAGATTTATTAAATGTATATTATTTAAGGGGCCTTCCTGGACCACACCATTTCTTTATTGCCAGTAGTTAGATTCTCCTATTAGATGGCCCCATATCCTGTGACCCTTATTGACACTCATCATGGCAATCTCAAATTCTCTTTGTGGGTGGTTGACATATTTCTATGAAATTAAACAAGAGCAGTATTAGAGGATTAGGGCAAAAAGAAGCTATAAAATTGTAGACTTGCTCTCATTATCTGAGATTTTATTCAAGGAATTCTCATAACGAAACAATTGCCTTTATTTCAAATATGCTGTATTGGGAATAATTCTGGTTCAATTCAACTTCTATTTATATCTCGTGAGAAAAAGAGGGAAGGAGCATGTCAGACCTATCTGAATTTTAAGAGAATTTTTCTTAGTTTCCAGATATCATTTGAAACCTGCCTTAAAAGCGTATGTCATTATGAAGTAGGCTCCTGTAGAAAAAATTCTAAGACTGATTCTAGAAACTTCATTATGTAGTTCATAGTGATAAAAACAAAGGGTTATATATTTCAGGATCGCCATAGTGTCAGTTCATAAAGGATTCTGATAATTCATGATTTTTTTTGACATGTTGGAAACTGTATTACGACTTATAATTCATAAATTTATAATGGGGAGTAAGATAAATGGTTTTAAAAAGCTAGATATTGAAAGTATGGTAAATTTAGAAATGTAAAGAATGTCTAAACTAACAAATTCAATATATCGTGATGTAATTTACAATATTTTTGGCTATAAAAAGACTAAAAGAGAAATTTTATTTTGTTTTTACAGAATTCTGTAATACTAAGCAGGCAGTTGGCCACTTTGGGACAGAGGCCCACCATATATACAGTTTTGAAGAGAAAGGCTTATTTTTCTCATGAAAACCCGAAGATAAAGGGGTATTTTATTTTTTTTAATTCCAAATATACAATTCAGGTTTGATTTTTTAAAAAAATATCAGAAACTTTTAAAAGACTTAAAAACCCTGGTGGAATTTTATGTACTATATCTTCTAAGTAATATCCAAAGAGACTTCTTTTATGATAGAAAAAAAAATTGTGTGATAATCAGGACTAATTACCAACTCACAAAATGCCAAGCCAAACTCTTGGGTGATAGTTTCACAATTTGTTAAAACCTAAACTTCAATCCAAAAGCCTTATTGGGGGTGGTGGCAAATCCTGGCAATATTTTTTAAACGTTTTCTTCTAGTTTCTGAGAGTGAGCCACAATGGTAGAATGGTGTTATGGTTTGGATATAAGTTGTCCCCGAAAAAACTCATGTTAGGCAATGCAGGAATATTGAGAGTTGAAATGATTAGATTATGAGAGCTATAACCTCATCAATGGATTTGTCCACTTGATGGATTAATGATTTGAAAGGACCACGCTACTGGGTGGTAACTATAACCAGGTGACACATGGATGGAGGAAGTAGGGCACTGGGGTCATGGCTTTGGCGATATATACTTTGTCCCTAGTTCCTCCCACTCTCTGCTTCCTGGCTATCATGAGCTGGGGAGCTTTCCTCCACCATGCCCTTCTACCATGATGTTCTACTTTCAGGCCCAGAGCAATGCAGTCTGCAAACCACAGACTGAACCTCAGAAAATGTGAGCCCAAAATAACCTCTTCATTCTTTAAGTTGTTCTTATTAGGTACTTTGGTCACAGCAATGAAAAGCGACTAACATATATGGATGTTATAATCACCACTACCACCACTGCACACACATTTGCATGTGCACACACACATAAACACACTAAAAATTCTACCCGAGAAGTAGCATCTATTGTTACTGTTAAACTTAGTAACAAGATGTGGATGGCCTTTCTTAATCCATTGAGCCACCTGGGTACAGGGTAAGGTTCTTATAACTAAAGGATATAGGTTACTGCCTTTGAAGACCTTTCAGTAGTGAGACAAGCAAACAGAGATGTTATGATAGAAGTGAGCCTAGGGTGGAGTGGGACACATAGAGGGTATACCAACTCAGGCTTGGAGGAGAGGAAATTGGGGAGGGCTTTCCTAAAAGGATAACATTTGCATTATTGAAAAGAAATGTTAGCAAATTGGGAGAACATTCCAGGTAGGGGGAGGGAGTGAGATATGCCCAGGTTTCTAACTGAGACCTGAGAAAAATGTGCATTCTAGTAGACACATAAAAGTGAAATTCATGGGTACCATAAGATGTAACATTCCAGGGGATAAAATATCTTTAAAATGATCATCTGAAGCTTAAATTCCTTCTGACTTGATAAAACTTGGAAAGTAGGGAGGTAGAAAAAAAAACAGTCCCTATAAAATCAAACTAGAGGCCTTTTATGATTAATCAGGAAGGTTATAGATACCATTTGTTTCTTTTCTATTTTAAAAAGCTTTATTGAACTATAATTTATGTCCTCCCTTTAAAACTACAAGAATGGTTCAAATCAATTCAATGGTATCAGTACATTTACAGAGTTATGCATCTATCATCACTATCTAATTGTAGAGTGTCTTTATCAAGTCAAAAAGAAACCCCATTTCCTCATTCCCATTAGATTAGTAGCACTATTAATCTATTTTCTGTTTCTACAGATTTGCCTATTCTGGGTATTTCCATACCAAGAGAATCATACAATATACAGTATTTGTAACTGGCTTTTATTTCAGCTAGCATCATGTTTTCAGGCTCTGTACATGTTGTAGTACTTTATCAGTATTCCATTCCATTTTATGACAAATAATATTGTATTATATGGATATGTCACAATAGATTTATTCACTCTTCATTTGTGGAGCTATTATGAAGAATGCTGCTATGAACATTTATGTACCAGCCTTTGTGTGACCATACATTTTCATTCCTCTTAGGAGTCAAATGGTATCTTCAAGGAAACTGCCAGACAGTTTTCTAAAGTTGCTGTATCATTTCACAGTTCTATTAGCAGTATATGAGGATTCCAATTTCTCTACATCCTCACCAACTCTTGTTTTTCGACTGTCTTTTAAACTATAGCTACTGCACTTGGTGTGAAATAGTATTTCATTGTAGGTCTGTAGTTCTCTCATAACTTATGATATTGAGCATCTTTTCATATGCTTATTTTTTCACTTATATGTCCTTTATTCAACTCCTTTCCCATGCTATAATCTGGTTGTCTTTTTATTATCGAGTTATAAGAATTCTTTATGTATTCTAAATGCAAGTCAGATACACAATTTACAAATATTTTCCTGTTTTTAGGTTGTCTTTTAATGCTTTCTCGTAATATCCTTGAAACCCAAAAGTTTTTAATTTTTATGAAGTTCAGTTTATCTATTTTTATCTTTAGTTCCTTGTACCTTTGGTGTCACATCAAAAGAAACCATTGCCAAATCTAAAGTTAGAGATTTACCAGTATTTTCTTCTGAGTCTTAGCTTATATGTTTAGGTCTTTGATTTATTTTGAGTTCATTTTTGTGGTGTGAGATAACAATCCAAATTAATTAGAAATCTAAAGATGTAGTTGTCCCAGCACAATTTGTCGAAAGACTATTTTTCCCCATTGTCTTGTTTGGGCACTCTTTGTTGAAAAGTCAAGTTATAAGCTGGGCATTGTGGTGAATACATGTAATACTGGCTACTCAGGAGGACAAGGCAGAAGGATCACAAGTTTGAAGCCCACTTGGATAACTCAGCGAGTTCCTGTCTGAAAAAAAAAAAAAATTTAAAAAGAGTCACAGATGAAGCTCAGTGGGAGAGCACTTGCCTAGATTGCACCAGGCCCTGGGCTCATTCCCAGTAACAACAACAACAACAACAACAACAACAAAAAGCCATTTATTCCAGGATTTTTCAATTTTATTCTATTGCCTTGTATGTTTATACTGATACCACCAGTTATCAGTGACAAGTCCTGCTTCCTCACATGTTGAAGTATAACATTAAAGAAGCACCCAGAGGCAAGCATATAAAGCAGGGTTTATTTAAAAAGGGGTAACATAGACTTCTCCTGGGAGAAGTAACCTGCTATCACAAGAAGTGAGAGCTTTCTGCCTTTTTTATATGTCCTAGGATCCTTTTGTTCTCCTGCTCTTTACCCCTTATCTCTCTCCTTCCTGCATAGGTGACCAGGCCCAGGAGATGCTGGATGGAATGGCCAAAAGATGAGAAGCAGACAAGGGGCTAAGCAGGAAGGGGGCCCAGGTAGCATTAATTACCAACTTTTATAACTCTCTGTAGGAAGTAACAATCCCTGGGACAGGTGACCTTAGCAACAGGTTGGAGCCAGGGCAGGTTTTCTTGATAAGGGTAGAGGAAGGGCTCTGAAGGCATTAACATTTTAATCCCTCTCCAACTTCCCAGATCCAAATTGGCCTCCCCCATCTGACCCCATTTACTTATCTAAACTGAGTACCTCTTTTATTTATTTCTGGCTTCAATACTTATGCCAACACCACTTTTTTTTTTTTCAGTTTATTAGTGGGTTTTAAAATCAGGAAGTGTCAATCCTCCATCCTTGTTCTTCTTCAAGACTATTTTGACTCTTCCGGGTCTCTTGAGGTTTATAAAAAATTTTAGGATCAGCTTGTCATTTTATGCAAAGAAGTCATCTGGGATTTGTAAGGAATTATATTGAAAAACTGATCAATTTGAGGTGTATATTATCATAACAAAACTAAGTCTTCCCACTCATGAATATAAACTTTCTGTTTATTCAAATCTTTTTTCAACAACATTGTGTAGTTTTCAGAGTATAAGTTTTACGCTTCTTTTGTTAAATTCTTATTTTTTATGCAGTTGCAAATGGAATGGATTTGTTCATTCCTGGATTGTTTATTACTAATATACAAAAATATGATTGAATTTTTCTACATCAATATTGTATCCTGAAAACTTGCTGAACTTGTTTATTAGTTCTAACCAGTTTTGTGCACTCTTCAGTATTTTTTTTATACAAAATGATGTCATGTGGGAATAAAGATAGTTTTACTTCTTCCTTTCCAAGCTAAAGGTTGTTTCTATTTTTTCTTTACTAATTGCCATGGCTAAGAACTCTACTACACATATTGAATACAATACGTGAAGGCAAATCAATCTTGTGAAGGCAAATAATCTTGTTCCTAATATTAGAAGGCAAATATTCAGTTATTTTGTGGGTTTTTTCATAGATTCACTTTACTATTAGGTTGAGAAAGTTCTCTTCTATTCCTAGTTTTTTAATATTTTTATCATTAAGTAGGATTCATCCATGAAGCCATCTGGACCTGGGCTTTATTTGTGGGTAGATTTTTAAAATTATTAACAATTAAATTTCTTAACTTGCTATAGGTCTGTTCAGATCATTGATTTCTTCTTGAATCAATTTTCAATACTTTGTATCTTCCTAGAAATTTGTCCATTCATCTGATTTATTCCCTTACAATTCTCTTTTATTTCTATAATTTTATTAATTATATTCTTTTTTTTTTCATTCCTGATTTGAGTAATTTAAAATCTTCATTTTCTGACAGACAAGTTAAACATTATTCAATCTTGTTGATCATTTCAAAGAACCAACACTAGCTTTCACTGATTTTCTTTATTTTATTTATTCTTTATTTCATTAATTTAAGCACTAATCCTTGTTATTCCTTTCCTTCCATTTTTTATAGGCTTAGTTTGCCCTATTTATTCAGTTTCTTGAGGTGGAAAATTAGGTTGCCAATTTTTGTCTCTCCTTTTTTTTTTTAATTCTACTGTCTTTCTAATTCCTAGCCCCTCCCTTCCCTTCATTCCCCTTTCTCTAATCCACTGAACTTCTATTCTTCCCTCTTATCCCCCCTTGTTGTGTGTTAGAATCCACATATCAGAGAGAACATTTGACCTTTGTTTTGGGGGGACCAGCTTATTTCACTTAGCATGATAGTTTCCAGATAGGCACTTACAACTCTAAATTTCTCTTTGTGTGCTGCGTCAGCTGCATCCCATATTTTGTAGTATGTTATGTCTTCACTTTCATTCATATTAAAGTATTTTCTGATTAACCTTGTGATTCCTTCCTGGACCCATTGGTTATTTAAGTATACATGGTTTAATTTTTGCATACATGGGAGTTTTCCAAGTTTACTTTTTATTGATTTATAATTTCACTTCTTCATAGTTGTTTAGTCAGCTATTTCACTGCTGTGACTAAAAGACCCAACCAGCACAACTGTATGGGGAGGACAAGTTTATTTGGGAGCTCAGGGTTTCAGAGGTTTCAATTCAAAGACAACCACCTCTATTCCTCCAGGGTCAAGGTGTGGCAGAATATCATGGCAGAAAAGTGTGGCAGAGGGAAGCAGCTCACATGATGATCAGAACCAGAATAATAGGTCTTCACTAGCCAGATAAATATATACTTCACAGCCACACCCCCAACAAACCACCTCCTATAGCCACATCACACTAGATAATCCCATCAGGGATTAATGCACTGATTAAGTTAAAGCTATCATTTCTCCTCCAATCAGTCATTTCTCTTCCAAATCTTCTTACATTATATCACATTTGAACTTTTGGGGGAGACCTCACATCCAACCCGTAACAGTAAATAAAATACTTTTAAATTTATTGAGACAATGTTCCCTGTATACTTACGAAAAATCTGTGTTCTGCTATTTTTTATTGGGGTATTCTACAGATATCTGTTAGTACTAGTTGATTGATAGAGTTGTTCAAGTCTTCTGTTACCTTGTAAGATCTGTTACTAGTTGTTCTATCCATTACTGAAAAGCAGCTCAGGACATGACACCAGGAAACAGAGGGTGGGGGGGGGGAGAGAAAGAGAGGAAGTGTTTCCCTCACTACAGCAAAATACAAATCCCAAAGGCATACACTTAGTGACCTACCTCCTCCAGCCACACCCTACTTGCCTACAGTTAATCCCTATCAGAGGATTAATACACTAATTAGGTAATGCTCTCAAAACTCAGTCATCTCACCTCTAAACTTACTTGCATTTTCTCACACATGAGCTTTTGAGGGACACTACCTCGTATCTAAACCATAACTCTCAAATATATATATATATATATATATATATATATATATATATATATTCCTTGTTTTCTTTCCTCTTATTATGTTATCACATAATTTAAATTTTATTTATTGACTTTGCCTGAATTTAAGTGTTGTTAGTTTTATGCCATATTTTTATGCCATAAATCGTAAGATATCAGAAAAAAAAACTATCACTAAATGACTTTACTCCCTTTTCTGGGGAAGGCAATAGTGCAGTTTTGGTTGATAAACATTGATGGATACTTGCATCATGTTAGGTAGTATCATCAACTTGTTGGCTTTATTTAGAAATTAAGTATGATAGACAGAGATACTTATGCTACCAAGTTGATAAGGGATGGACTTACGATGGTTAATTTTATGTGTTAACTTGATGGTTAAGGGATGCCCAGATTACTGGTAAAGTATTATTTTTGGATGTATCTGTAAGAATGTTTCTGGAAAAGATTAGCATTTTAGTTGGTGGACTGCATAAAGAACATCACTCTCACCAGTGTGATTTGAGCATTGGGCAATCCCCTGAAGTCCTGAATAGAACAAAGGGGTAGAGCAAGATTCACTTTACTCTCTGCTTGAATTGGACTTCCATCTTCTCCTGCACTCACACATGAGCTCCCCTAATTCTCAAATCTCAAGACTTGGACCAGAATTTTTATCATTTGCACCCCAGTTCATGAGTCTCTGGTATCAGACCAGTATTTACACCATTGATTTATGTGGTTCTCATGACCTTTGAGCTTGGACTAGAACTACTATAGTCTTACAGCTGGCACATCATGGGGCTTCTTACCTTCTATAATCATATGAGCAAGTCCTTTATAATAAGTCCATTTGTATAATTATTAACTCTAGGAAAAATTATATATGTAATATCTATGTGAAAGAAAATATAATCATAGTATAGCTGACTATAATTATTAATATTTATGTATATATAAATATTTACACATCAGTACTATGGTCATTAATACTCAAGTACTAATGACCATATAAAGACTCCACTGATTTAACTAATCATTGTGGTATAATTTGAGAGATGAGAAGAAAAGACATATAGGTAGGTATGATATACAAGAAATAAATCTTTATCTTCCATATCAGAAGGCAATAGATAATGTATAAAGATAACATGTTAATAAAGAGCAGTATAAGAATATTTAGGAATATGGAAACATATTGCAGAAGAAAGAGCTTTAAGACTCAAGATCATTTTCCTTTGGGACAAAAATGGAAAATGAGAAGAAATGGAGCAGTGGTCGAATTTCAGTATTATKTGCTTTATCTAGATTTCTATTGATAAATATTAAAAAAAATTAAAGATGATACTCTGCAAGATGGATGAGAGGAGAGAGATAGATAATTTTATTCTTAATTTTTTCATTTTTCTCTTCTTAGGCTGTGGTATATTAATTTGCCAATGGCTGCAGATGATATAATAAAGGAGATTAAAGGAAACGAAGTGACTTTTCAAGACTGCTTTATTGCAGATCTTCCTTTTCTGCTGACTGTTCCTTTAATGACCATACCTGAGGATCCTGGCTTTTTACCAATCTCTTCGCCAGCTGGGAGTCAGTTAAAGTATTCCTGGCTTGCTTGTGTTCCTTCATTTATTGTGGTGGTAGCTGACATGGAGACCTTTCAAACCAACGATTCATTCCACACTTGGAACACAGTCAGAATACCTCCAGAGGTTCTGAGTAATAAGGAAAGGCACAGCGTGGAGCAAGTGAACCTTTCACATGATGGGGTATTTTTTCTGATAAATGGTGTTCTTTACCTGAAAAGTCTTAAAACATTTACAAAACTAGGAAGAAATGAAGAACTTCCTGAAGGTGAAATTATTGGCATTACATCAAGAAGATGGTGTTGGATCAAGTTTATATTTAAGGTTAGTGAAAGATTTCATGTATATATTATACATAGACATTTAGATATATGTACCATACCATTTATTGAGTGATATATCAGAAACTATAGTACCTACACTGGATTTCACACAATGATATTTTTTCTAAGACTGTGTAAACAGCTATATCTTTCTGATGTAGCTATATCTTAGCAACCTCTTTATAACAAAGATGTGCTTCCAACAACAAAGAATAAAAATGATCTTGTATGTTGTTATACAGAGTAGTTCAATTGTATTATGAGGGCTTTTTTACTTTGATATGGGCAAAAGACACTCCAAAAAAATTTCCCCAAAGACTGTGTACTATAAAAAATGAACCAAATCTTCTGTTTATGACAATGTAGTGAATAAGATACACTGAAGCTTTCACTTCAGTGAAAACTTACAAAACACTTAAAATGCTATCCCCAAAATTTAAATATTCTTTTAAATACATTGTTGGGCTTATAGGGAAGTAAGAGAAATCCTCAGTGGTCCTGGAGCACTAATCCAGAGGAACAAGCAAACTCCAAAATCTCAGCTTGCACTAAGGACTGACCCCAGATAATGAGAACTCAGGTGCCAGGAGACAAAATCCTCTGGCCTGACAAAGTAGGAAATCTAATAATAACATTTTTCATAAAATAAGGATCTTCAAAGAGTTCCAACTCACATTCACATTGGAGCCCAAATTTATAGTGCCTATTTGGAGAAGGAGGAGAAGGAGAAGGAGAAGAAAAAAGAAAAGAGAAGAGAAAGAAAGATTAAGCCAAATATCAAACAAAAGCAAACACAAATCCTTTTTGGAAGGATAAATCCTGAAGTCAGTGATATGAGTACCAGAAATAAACAGGATTATTAACTGTTGATTATATTAACTAGCATGTGTGTTGGATAAAAGCAGACTATAAGCAATATGCCCATGATGTAATGTGAACTGCAAAATTTAAGATAAACTGCAGAACTTAGATAGACTTAAGTTAGTGATGCAAGAATCTACAACCTGGGCATACACTCTAGGCCACACCCAGTTACAGTCGCAAGCAAAATCGAACTAGGACTTAAAAACCCAGACTTTTGGGGGCCGGCAGAACTAAAAGGACCTGAACAGATAGACTGAGACATCCGTTGTTGTTGTTCCCCCTTGCACCAGACTCCTCCAGCCAGGATCAAGTTCCAGCGACTCACAGGTGAGTATCTGGGACCTTCGAGTGTAGAAGCAGTTAGGAATTAGAATTAGGATGTGTGTCTAAAATGTGATGAGCATTAATAAAATAGATTTGGTTGAATCTAACTGTGCCTCAAACTGAGTCTGTAGAAACCTCTCATGACAGTTAGGCTTAAAAAGATGTCCACAAATAATGTCCTGACAAAATTGAACTCACAGCTGGGCGAGGTGGCCCACACCTGTAATTCCAACAGCTCCAGAGGCTGAGGCAGGAGGATCGTGAGTTCAAAGCCAGCCTCAACAAAATCGAGGCACTAAACAATTCCGTGAGACCCTGATCCTGAATAAAATACAAAACTAGAGCTGGGGATGTGTTTCAGTGGCCTAGTGCCCCTGAATTCAATCCCTGGTCCCCCCGTCCAAAGAAAACTTTACAGTTTTATTGTAAATGAGCAATTATATAAACTCATGGGATACACAATGTTTGATTTATAAATACTGTGTAGAATAATGAAATCAAGCTGTTATCATATCACCTTTAATACTTAATTTTTGTTGTTGTTGTTGTTATAAGCACATCTCTTACCACATTTGAAATGTACAAAACTATTTACCATGGTGGGCAATATGCCTCAAAAATAAACAAAAACCAATATTTTCCTGTGTGAGTTTTATTTGTTTGATTGTTTGTTTGTTTGCATATCATCCTCCCATTCCCTCTACTGGCCAGGCTCTGTAATCACTACTCTACTCCCTGCTTCTATGAATTCAATTGTTTTAGATTCTACATATATTTGGGAAGAGGTAGTATTTGTTTTTCGGTGCCTGAGTTGTTTCACTAGGTATAATATCCTCAAATTCCATCCATGTTTTCCCAAATAATGAATTCCTTTATTTGTAAGGCTGAATATTACATATATATATATATATATATATATATATATATATATATATATCACGTTTTCTCTGTTCATTTGATGATGTTCAATTAGATTGATTCCACATCTTGAATATTTTAAATAATGCTGCAGAGAACATGGGAATGGAGATATCTCTGATAAACTGACACACAGACCAATGGAACAAAATAGAAGGCTCCAAATCCACTCATAGTTAATCTATTTGTAAAAGGAAGCCAAGAACATATACTGGAGAAAAGATAGCCTCTTTATAGGATGTTGATAAAACTGGATGCCTTCAGAAGAATGAAATTTTACCTCTTTCATCACATGCAAAAGTGAAAAACGGATTAAAGACTTAAATGTAAAACCCAATAAAATGGGGAAAAGTCCGTGACATTGGTCTGGTCATTAATTTTTTTAAATAAGACCTCAAAAGCACACATACAATGGCAAAATAGACAAATAGGATACATACAACTAAAAAGTTTCTGCACAGCAAAGCAAACAATCAACAGAGTGAAGAGACAACCTACAGAATGGGAGATAATATTTTAAAACTATATACCTAATAAAGGGTTAATATCAAAATATTGAATGAAATCAAACAACTCAATAGGGGGGAAAAACCCAGTTTTTAAATGGGCAAAAGATCTGAACCAACATTTTTCAAAAGATGTACAAATGCCCAACAGGTACATGAAAAAAAAACTTAAAACTAGTCATCAGAGAAGTACAAATCAAAACCACAATGAGATATCACTTTACTCCAGTTACAATGAATAGTATCAAAAATGCAAAAGAAATAAGTTTTGATGACAAGGTAGAGAAAAGAGAACCCTATACACTGTTTTTGGGAATGTAAATTAGCAAAGCTATTATGGAAACCAGTATGAAGTTTCCTCAAAAAAATTAAAAATGGAGCTACTATAGCAATTTCCCTAATGGCTATTTTTCCAAAAGAAATGAAATAAGTAACATATTTGCACTCCCATATTTATCACTGTACTATTCACATGTTTTCTATGGTCTAGATACAGTTTGAGTGTATCCCCTCAAAGTTTCATGTGTTGGAAGTTTGGTCCTGGGTATGGCAATTTGAAGAGGTATAATTTTTAAGAGGTAAGTTCTAATGAGACATCTTTAGGTCATTGGGTGAGCTGCCCTTGGCAGGAATAAGGTAGTCTCCAAGGACCTCTGAGCTCTTGGGAGAACAAGTTGTTATAAAAACCCAAGCCTAACTCCAATAATTCCCTGCTTTTCCATTTGGTGATGTGAACTCTCACTCCTATACATGCTCCCACCGTGATGCAATCTGCCACCCGAAAGGGCCTCCACCAAAGCTAAGCCAATACCAGTGCCATGCTTTTTGAACCTACAGAACTGAGTTAAATAATTCACTCTCTCCAAGTATCTGGCTCAAATATTTTGTTATATGATGGAAAATGGACTATAATGGTGTTCATCAACACATAAATGGATAAAAATTATCTAGTGTATATACACAATTGTGTATTCTTCAGACATAAAAAAAATAATGAAATCCTATCATTTACAACAATATAGATGAATCTGGAGGATTTTATGCTAAGTAAAATAAACCAGTCTCAGAAAGACAAATACTGCATGATATCACTCATACATGGAATGTAAAAGCGTTTATCTTGTAGAAGTTGAGTAAAGAATCTGGGTTACCAGAGGCTGAGAGTGGAACTGGGGAGAGGTTGGTCAATAGATACAATGTTATAGTTAGAGAAGAAGAAAAAGTTCTGGTGTTGTATTACACAGCAGGGTGACTGTAATTAACAATAATGTATTATACAATTCAAACCAGCTAGAAGAGAGTATTTTGAATGTTTTCATCACTAAGATGTGATAAATGTTCAAGACGATGAATATGCTAATGCTAATTAGCATCACACAGAGTGCTAATAGCTATGCATATGTGGGGAAACTGTCCAAGCCTAGATTTGATCATTACACATTATACTTATTTTTACTTGTTATACTTATTATACTTACATTAAAGCATCACAGTTGTACCCCATAAGTATGTATAATTATCATGTCAATCAAAAATAAAGCTTTAAAATTTTCAGATTAAAACCTCAAATCTTCTGAAAAAAGAAATATTATTAAGCCTTTAAAATGAAGGAAATCCTTCTATTTGCAACAATGTGAAAGAAATTAGAGGATATTATTCTAGAAAAATAAGACACAAAAGGAAAAAATACTAGATGAATACACTTATGTGAAGGATCTAAAAATAGGAAGACTCAACTTCATGGTCCCTACAGCATAGAAGTCAAAGAAGGGATAACACTAATTAAAATAAAGATAATAGCTATAATAATATCAAAGTGTATTTTAAAACATGAAATATTACCAGTGATAAAGGTCATTTCCTATTAATAATAGGGTCAATTTATCAAAAGCATAAAATCATCAATATTTATGAACCTAGTATCAGAGCTTCAGAATACATTGAGCAAAAAGTAATGAAACATCAAGAAATAGATAAAATCCATAAGTTTAGTTGTATATCTCAATATCTCTTCAATAATTGATAGAAGAAATAGAAAATCAGTAAGTCTGTTGATGAATTAAACACTCTCAACCATCTATGTCAAACTGGTATTTATAGAACACACTGCCCAACAACAGCACAAAATTCTTTCCAAATAAACATGGAACATTTACCCAACATAGGTCATGTTCTATGCCGTAAAACAAACCTTGGTATAAAATTAGTCATTTCATACAAACTACAGTGAACTTAGAAACCACAACAAAAAGATGTCTGCAGTATACAAATATTAGGAATTACAAATATTAGGAAACTAAATAATCTACTTTAAAATAATCTATGAATCAAAGACCAAAATTCAAAAGCAATTAAAAAATATTAACAGAAAGGAAATGGAAATAGAACA